GCACTCCCTTTTAGAAAAGCTAACAACATACTTTCTTTCCAAGAGGCTCCAGGTATTAGTTCGTTTTTAGGGGCCAAAACAAATGGTATATCTGTGCCCGTCGTCATATCAACAGATTAGCCTTAGCTCCTTATATCTGAAACATATTCATAGAGAAAATCTTTTATAAGAACGCCATAGAAGTTAACCTCGTTTTGTGTGCGACCTCCGATAATTAATCCCTTTGTGCCTTTATTATCATTTCAGGGTCTTCTTATTATTGTCATGGAACCAGCCTTCCTTCTCCCACAATGGCGGTGGGTTATTATGAGCTGCCTTGATCACGATGCACGACGTTTCCCCTTGTCCTATTTCCATTGAGCCCTACTTAATGGCTAACCCAAATTCCTGGTTGGCACCCGAAATATCAAATAGATTGTGATATTTTGCGATCTCAGAGAACGAAGGCTCCTCTATTCTAAACCGTGTGGGTTTAACTGTCGTAAGGTGGAGCGTTAGATGAGCTTCCGTATTATTTTTGCCTCTTACACCTGGTGCGCGGCTAGTCCTCGACAAACCTTTATTGTTCTATGTTCCCACACACGTTCTGCACCCTTTTGAACAGACTTTTTCAAAATCATTTCGCTTACTCTATTACTAAAATCCTCCCCGCTCTACTCCATGCGTACACCTGGCATAGTGAAGGCCTCTGCGGCTGCCGAAGCTGAAATCGGAATAGCTGGGCCAGCACAATTTTAGACAGGCATGTCGCAGGTAAGACCTCTTGTTTAATCCTACTGCCTGGTTTGCTTGCTGTGGTCTTTTGATTCTGACCGGGCTTCGCCACAAGCTTTGACTAACCACTGACCTTAGATACTGCGTAGTCTCCCCGTGACCGGCGGTGCTCAACCGCAGCTACATTTATGAAACCCACCTTTTTCGTTTTTTCATTGGTTTTGGTTTTCCATTCGAAAAATGACCTTGAAGATGACACAACGAGTGAAAATATCTGCTGAAAATCGGGATCACCCGATCTCAAAATAAACATCTGTATAGCATACACTATAACTTGCGGCGTATGCACATAATTGCCCACACCATCCAAAACCGCATTTCCTGCCAACTAACCGCCAACCTATGAAACCACAATTCGCGGTGCATGTCAACGTTCAAGTGCAGCTGGCTGAGCGCGATAATTTAAAATATATTCGTATGCATAATTATAGAAAACTATTAACAACACTATGTGAGAATACAAAAAGTTTAAATGTGCGTCCTCAGCGGTTTTCATTATCATTAAATAAATTAAATAAAAATAGCATTATTGTTTGAACTCTTTCGGATTGACTTTAAAACTGTTATAATTTGTTGCTTGCATGATTTACGTGAATGTGTAGTGTAATACTTCGTAAATCAAATATGTGTGTGTACACTCGGCTTCACTTGAATAGGTACACATATTTTCCCTCAAGATCCAAGCTTATATCTGGACTTGCGGGCATAGGAGCAGCTTCGTTTGAATCTCATTTAGAAGAATGACGAATTTGTTTTTTTTTTTAATATTCGTAATATTTTCCAGCTAATTTTTTTTTCGTTTTTTTTTTTAAATAAAAATATCGTCCAAGCTTTACCCAAAACCGTGTAAATCATAGTTTACTTTATAAAAAATTTAGAAAAATTCAACAAATTTTCATCAAAACTTCAATTTTTGGGTATGCAGTTTTATAGTCCATACAATTTTAGTCCAATGAAGTGCAAGTTTCAAAAGGCTGAAAAAATTGCGCTGACTTTTGAGAATTTTTTTTGCAGTCTACTTTTTCGTTTTTTTTTTTAATATAACAAGCGCGATTTGCAAAAACTTGTGCTGATATTTTGAAATTTTATTGCTGACGGTATCTCACGTTTTATTTCAGAAAAAATTCATACTTATATGAAAAGAGTGCAAAAATCCGTCACAAAAAAAAAATCTCAAAAATCAACGCGATTTTATATTTTCAAAAAACTCAGAATAAAAAGTTGAAATTTTGATGAAAACTTGTTGAATTTTCCTAAATTTTGTATAAAGTTTGAAGCGGTGATTTACAAGGTTTTGGTTAAAGCTTAGAATATATTTTTATATAAAAATAACAATAACAAAAAAATTAGCTCAAATAACATTAAGAATATTGAAGAAAATCAACACGTGCTCAGATCTTGAGCAAAAAATTTGTAGCTATTCAAGTGAAGCGAAGTGTACATAAAAATAATTTCACGGACAAGTAAATTTTCAAGGCAATTGAATAATAAAATCGAATGAGCGGTTTGAACCCTCGACATTTTTTTATGGACATATTTTTTTTTCTAATTTACTTACTGATAGTCTTTACTCTCATTTTTGGTGGCGCTATTAGACGCATGCGTCATCGCTTGACGCTCTCCATAGCACCGCGTCACTTTACAAACTCATTAAAAGTCTAAGTGACCGGTTGCTTGTCGTGTTGGCGGCGGTTCTTATCAAACGGTTAGATTCGCTTAGATTTTAAACACTCCTATGCGTGTACATATGTATTTTATAATTATCATCAATTGTCGCTGTCACCTTCTTCATATGTCAGCGTGCAGTCAGAGCGCGTGTAGGAATTTGTTTCATGTTTTCATGTATGTATTTATGTATATATGTAGTACATGTAACTACATATGTAAGTACATAATTACTCGTATTGCTTGTATTTAGTACCGATGGGAATGAGTGTCGATTTTGCGGTTTCTCACAGAGAGAAGTCAAATAAATACAAACGACAAATTGATATACTCACACTAGCATTAATTTACGTTAATATCTTACTGTGAGCGAATAAAAATTTATTGTCTTAGTTTTCTCTGTCGTTTGGAATAAAGCAGTTTAAGCACAGTATCATATCCGGAGACTTTTTTGGTTGGGGATAATCATCTACTAAATATTAGCAAAAACAAAAAATATTGTATAAATTAAAAATTTATTTCCGGTCCTCATAAACAAAAAAAAAAAAATAAAAAAATTAAAACAGATTCTTCTCCCTTCACCATCTCATCTAAAAACGGGATAGGTTCCACATTTTTTCAAAAAAGAGTACTTTTCTGTCGAAAATACTTTCAGAAGCAAGTGCCGTCTATCTGATTCTCGGATCGGCCCATTTATTTGCCAATATAGCTAATAGTGTTAGTATAACTAAGAGTACTAACGAAAAACGTCGTGCGAAATTTTAAAATGAAATGATCTCACTTACATATAAACTAGAGATGGGCGCGTGACTAAATATTCAATCCCGATCCCGCCCATGCTGACATTAAATTTGTGGTTTCGAACCCCTCCATCTCGATGTTTTCCAAATTTGAACCGCAGATCCTGTGGGTCCAGATATCTATCATTAAATAAAATTCACATAGCTTTCATATTAATTTTAAATAATATACTTACTTGAATATCTTGTCCTTGAACATTCTACATATTTTCCCTACTCAACGATCTGATATTTTCTGGTTATTCTGTTTTGCTTTGCCGTTCGTTTTTTTGTCTAATTTAAAATTAAGAAGTGCTAACGATTTTTTCCCGTCCCGCCGGCAATTTTTTGAAGACCTTTCTCTCTTTCCAGAGGCTAATTCTGTGGTCGCAAGCTATAACAGCTTAAGTCAAGAGGTTGACTTTAATACATATAATGTTCCATTTCCAGCCTGGGATTGAAAATGGCACACTTGCTATTGAAAAACCATTGCTAAACGAACCCGAAAGAACTAGTTATTGTGCCAGCAACTCACCATTTAATCTAAAAAAAAAAAAAAATCGCTGTGGCGTAAGTTAATAAAGGAATGACGCATTATACTAAAGTCAACCTCGCGGCTTAAGGCTGTTGTGGCTTGTGACCACAGAGAGAGAGAGACAGAATTAACTTATTACTAAAAAAATAAAATTTATCTCAGTTCATACGAAATAAATACCTTCATAGTCAAAATTATCGATACAAGTAAATAGGTATCGATACTTTAGATCCGATATTTTTCGGCTATCGTTACTCTCTTTCGATACTACTTCCCAAGTCAAAGTAAAAGTATCGATACCTGCATGGTATCGTTAGTAGGTATAATAGGCGGCATACACCGTGTGTCTGTCTCGTGAGTCGGTTTGGATGTGTTTGTGAAAATAAATATGTGTTAGTTACACCAACTTGACTCCCGACATGACGCTGAATGATGCAACTTTAAGTAGTCGAAGGCGAGTCAACACGTATACAAGTGACTCGCGAGTCAGACGCACCGTGTATGCCGCCCATAAGAACAACAAAAACTGAATGCTAAGCATTCTCTATTGACACTATTAAGTAATTAATGTAAATAATACTGACACACATACCCGCCATTAATTAACCGTAGACCACTTGAAATCCACACATCTGCCACCCCTACGTCCGTCCTCGTCCGCTATTAGAACCTCTGCGTGACAAATAAAAACTAGCAAAGTATTTGCACATTTAAAGTATTATTTATGCGTATAAAAATATTAACACAAAATTTTGCAATGACTATTGAAAGTGATAGCAAAATGAACTGTGCCTTTAAAAATTCTACAAACTAAATAATTTATAATAATAATTTTTCATTTTCTTTTTATTTTTGCAGATAACGAATTGTCGATGAGGCCAGACACACTAGATCGCTTGGTCGGTCAGTTGACAATTGACAAGCTGAGCGGCAATCAGTTGAAGCGGAACAAGTCGACGGCAAGGAAGGCGACGGATTAGTGCAAGGCGATAGATGGCGAAATACGAAACGCTTTGGAGAAGCGGAGCTTAAATGAGAAACGAATGCCATATACATATATAAGTGCCATATCTTAACATACATACATACATATGTATATACGCATATAAGGCCATAATCTCATGTGATGCAGTGTGATAAAACTCGAATGCATTGTAAGCTGAAAATGGACAATGACTGTCAACTGCATTAACAACAACAAAAAAATATAGTAGCATGCATTATAAATAAACAAACAAAAACAAAAAAAAAATAAAGGCAACCGTTAAGTTTGCGCTCCAAATATAAATCAGATTTCATAAGTGAATGTGAAATGAAACTTGACAACTTGCAACATGTGGACTAAGTATGCCGACAATGAATATTGAAAATTGCCGAGAGCAACAGAATTCAGCTACCGAAATGTGTGCAACAACAACGTGGCTAAGTGCAACGACTATTTGACAAGAGCTGTTAGTCCACAAAATGGCCATAGCGCATGCGCAAAGGCAAAGTGTTGAATATGTAAAAATTTGGAAGCATATCAAATGGCGACGTGACTGCAATTGTAAACCGAGTTTAGTATTGTGAGAAAAACTGAGTAGAGTAGCAAGCGCAGGAAGTTGGCAAAATTTCAGTTTTTCAGTGTGGGACAAAAAAGTGGAAAGTTTTGAGGTTATACCTTTAAATGTAAATATAGACAAGAGAATATAAGTGTATGAAAATTCGCGTTCAATTGTGTGTTTAAATCTTCATGTAACAGTGTGTGATCTTTTAGATTAAGTAATGCATGTTGGGGCAAAATTTATTAGAAAAATTAAAACAAGTGAAAACTTTCAAATAATACAAGGTTCTCACAAAATATAAAATATTCAAATACATATTAAGACTCGTAATTAAAATTTTCGAAAAATTAGAAAAGTTTAGCAGTCTCCAAGAATTAATTTTTTTTTAATTTCAATATTTTCAAATTTAAAAAATTCAAATTTTCAAAAGATTAGATATTTAAAAAATGACAATAAAAAAATTTCAGAAATTAGAAAATATCAAAAAATACATGAACTATCAAAAACATTGAAATAATGTAGTTAAAAAGAAATAACTTTCAAGAAATTAAAACCTTCCATAAAAAATTAAAAACTTTCAAATAATTTAAATTTAAAATACAGCTTTGAAAGCTAAAAACTTTCCTTTTTTTGTAAAAAATTTTCGAAACGTTGAAAATTTTCAAAAAACTAAAAACTTTCAAAAAACAAAAACTTTCAAAAAACAAAAAACTCCAAAAAATTCAAAGCTTGCAAAAAATTCAAAACTTGCAAAAAATTCAAAACTTGCAAAAGAAATACACTCAAAAAATTAAAAACTTAAAAAATTAAAATCTTTCAAATACCTATAAACTCAACTTTGAAAACGCTAAAAATTTTCGAAAGACCAAAATAATGATTTCCAAAAAGTTAAAGTTTAACCTTAAAATGTATTTATTAAAAGGATTATTTTTATGGAAGAAAGGAATAACTAAATAAATGGGGAAAAAATTAAAAAAATATACATAAGTATTGTATAAAGAAACTTAATATATCGTATAAGTAAGCTCCATTAAATATATTTTACTTTTTCAAGTGCCGTACTTAACTGTTTTCAAACACTAAACCACTGTTGTGATAAGATAAAAAAAAATAAGTGAACGCACAACTCAAATTCAAAGCAAAGTTTCAGACAACTCAAACTATCAGTGCCATCAATAGAATTAACCCCCCTAGGAGCACCACACTTGCACCCTACGAAATAAAAGAAGCTTCGAAACATATCTTACTGCTGCCAACAAATGCATAACGGAATACTGTAAAAGCAGAAACCGTTATAAGCAGAAACGATAACGCCACCACCGAAAAAAAGGTTCCAAAAAGAAATTAAAAAAAAAAAATACTCGAAAATTAAAATAAAAAATCAACAAAGCAAAGCAAGCAGCTAACCAAATGACAATATCAAATCGTTTGAATCGCAGACGAAATATCAACAGTAATAACGGTAACAATAACGTTGCTGGCGACACTGAGTTATTGCTGCAAACAACACCAAAATCCATCAGCAGCCCAGCAGGCTTTCAACCTGAGAGCGGTGACACGCGGCGCAGCGCGACAGGCGGGCGTATAAAGCGCTTGCAACGACCAACAACACTAACAAATACTTCCGTGCTCAACCAGCAGTCGACGAGTATAACAACTGAAATGAACACAAACATTGCTACAGTGAAAGAAAATCCACGCGGCAATCCGAATACCGCCGCGCGCATGACTAAAATTCTGCCGGGGAAATCGCTCAAATATGAGCGACTCATAAATCAAACGACGAGAACGCGCACGCCAACAAAGGCAGTTGACATAACGTCCGAGGCGGCGGCACTAAATGCCAACGGTAATGAGTGGCTGGCGCAAAGGCAGCCTGAACAGAAACAGCAGCAGCAACAATGGCGCTTGGAAGATCAGCCAACGGCAGAGCCGTGGTACGAGCATTCATCTACAGCGCAATCTATAACGCCGGCCAGCACAGCTGCACCAGCCACACGTCTAGCTGCGGTAAGCCCAGCATCGAGAGAGACGACGGCGGCGGCGGCGACGACGATGAAAAATTGGCAAACACATTTGGAAGGCGCGGAAATGCATTTATCACCAGCAGCCACAGTCATAGCCACAGCTTCAGCCATGGACGTAGTGAATGCGAATGCCAAAGCGACGCCGCATGCCAAAGTTGGTAGCCGAAGAGGAAACGCTAGTGGAAATGGTGGCAATAGCTGGAGTGGCAATTATCAACAGCAGCATCCGTATCCGACGCCGTCAGCAACAGCGGCAGCAACAACAACAACACTGCAGCTATGCACACAAAGTCGTCGGGGCAGCAGCAACAATGGCGATGGTTGTGGCGACTTTGCCAACATGACCACCGGTAATGGCAACAGTTATGGCGGCGGCGGCGGCAACAAAACGAGCAGCACGAGTAACAATGGCAATGGCCGCCCTGGTAATAGCTTGAAATATTTTGGCAATAGTGACACGAGTAATGGCTCATCTGCGTCCGACACGGACGCACTCCTGCCCGATGCTGATGCCACAGCGCCCGCCTACCAACATTCTACCACCACCACCGCTAACGCAAACACCAGCAGGCCAAACAATGGCAACAGCAATAGTAATGCCAATTTGGCGAGAAACAGCAAAGGTTTCTACCATACCTTAACCACCACGACCACCACCAGCAGCGCCGGCGCCAGCAATAACTACGAGCCAGCTGCCACAACGCAACCAAACTCTTCGCCGTCGTACTACACATCGTCCGCGTCGCCAGCATCAGCGCGTTCGGCCTCCTCACCCGCCGCTCTGTACACATCCAACGGTGCCTCTTTATTGGCATCGTCGTACTCGGTGTCGGTGTCGGTGTCGGGGTCGGGGTCGGGGTCCGGCGCTGGGTACGGGTCATCATCCGGCGCCGTTGCATTGGTGTGTAATTGTTGCAGTCATTTAATTGCTCGCTGCTGCTTCGGTATGCCTCTGTTGAAGGCTATCAATGTGCGACGGTGTGTGCTGGCGTTATTCGCCATAACGGTCGTTACGATTTTTTACTACACTCATTACGTCGATACGGGCGTTTTTGTTGGGTAAGTAGTAAATGGCAGGGCGAGCACAAAAAGCGAGCTTACACAATTTTACGCAACTTACAGACACCTCCATATGTATGTACATATGTTTGGATGTACAATTATACAGTTTTCCTATACATATATTAACAGTGCAATGCGAATGTACGTATGCTTACATACGTATACATATCATACATACGCATCACTGGTTTGTGGAAATAAGTACATAAATCGAGAAATGCGATTGAGAATTCTCTGCTTTGTAGAGTCTTACTTGCCTTTGTACTATTGAAAGTACGAACCAGAGGTGCATTTTTGGACACTTAACTCGGGGCATAGATTTTTGCTTATTTTAAACTGGACATAATTTTTTGGCTATTTAAAACTGGAAAAATTTTTTTGACAAAAAAAAAAATAATTACACATTTTCTGTCATTTGAAAACTTCACATAATTTTGTGTACTTTTGAAAACCGGACATAATTTTTAGACATAAATTTTTGGCTATTTTAAAACTGAGCATACCTTTTACTCATATACTAGCAATTTTTTTTTGTTCATAAACCTTTGGCCATTTAAAACATGGACATATGTAATTTTTTTTTTGGTAGTTAAAAACCGAACATATGCAATTTGTTTTGGTAATTTTAAGTCTGATCATATATTTCGGGCCATTTAAAAATTTACATTTGAATTTGAGGTTAAATTCATTTAAAAGTTGGCCATAACGGTAAAAAGTATACGTCAACTATAGATTTGTAAAAAAATAACATAGAAAACTGAACAGTAAATGGTTGTGCGTATGTTAGTGCACTTTTTAATATCCACTTTCCGTGATGAAAGATTTTTTTTTCACTTTCACTGTAAACTCAGGAAACAATTAATTTAATTAATTAAAGATAATAAAAAATCTATGTCCTGTTTGTAAAAAGAAATTATGTTCAGTTTTCAACTGACGAAAAACCCAGTTTTTAATTAACAACACTTTATATCCAGTTTCTAAATAAAAAAAAGTTCTGTCCAGTTTTTAAATAAAAAAAAAAAATGCATGCATATTTAGTTTTTAAATATTTACAACCAGTTCTTAAATTGCCACAAAATTATATCCCGATCTTAATTTTCTTACATTTCCAAAAATGTATGTTCAGTTCTCAAATGACAAAAAATTTATGTCCAGTTTTTGCATGACTAAAAATTTATTTTTCATAACCAATAATTTGTGTTGATACATATCTACAATTAAAAAATAAAAAAATTTATGACCAGATTTAAAAAAGAGAAAAAAACATGCCCAGTTCTTAGACAACCAAAACTTGTGCCCAGTGTTTTTAATAATAATATTTGTGCACAGTTTTTAAATGAACGAATATTTATATTCAACACGCAAGTTTCCAAAAATGTATATCCAGTTTTTAAATAAATAAATATTAGTGTCAAATTTTAGTAAAAAGAAAAATATTTTCAGTTTATAAATATCAGAAAAAAAGGTCTTAAGTTACATACCAAACAATTTTTTTCAACTATCAATTGTTCCATTTCCCTGCTGATATATCTTTGTAGACTGAGAGAAAAAACGCATTGTAATATTAAGTAAAATGTCATGCATTCGCAGAGGGAAATAACGCATAGTAAAAATAAATATTTTTTATTTGATTATCGTTTTTAAATGTGCGTATTTAAAAATAATACTTTCATACCAAACTCAGCATTTGCTAGCACATTTACATGTCCGGCTGTAGTTGAGTGCGTAAAAATGCTTGCCACAATTTGTTTATTCCCAGATCGTCAGGGTTCAAATTCCATTGCAGGCGGCATGGAAATAAATTATTATTTTTTTTAACTTAACTATGAAAAAGCATCCGTTAAGTGCAAAACGTTTCATTTTAATATGAACGTATTTGAATTGAATATTTCCATACTAAATACTTAAATTGGTATACTAAGATTTATTACGAGTTGGCTTGGTGCTGTTTCATATGCGTATTTTTTTTTTAAATTTAGTACGCATTTTTTCTCATTCTGAAATTTTTTTTTCTCCCAGTGTATTTTCATTATTATGAACCATTCTAACTGCATAAGTATCTAATGCGTGAGCACAAACTCGTTTGTAGTCTATTAATAAATAAACATAATTTTAGTTACTCCATTTTTGCTGCAAATGAGCATTTTTTTACATTTACACAAACACGCACACATGCATTCATACATTCCCGCATACATTTTAATCGCAGCGCTTTTGTGGCAATTATTCTGAGCAGTTAATTTTTTATTGCATACTTTTGAGGGTTCGTTAAGGGGCATTTAGGGTAATCGCTTTAAAGCGGCGCCAATTTGGTATTTCAAGTGTTTCTCGCCTCTGTCAAGAGTGTCGGTATTGGCGCGGTTACTTTTTTTTTTTGAAGAGATATGAATTGGCTTTTGTAAAAATACGAGCTAATATACGGTATGGGCATTAATATATGAAGTATTCGTATTTAAGCGCCAGATATTTGAGAGCATTTACAGATGAGTGAACTGTGTTAAAAAAAAATCGCTCTTTTGCCGATTAATATGCAACAGTAATTATACAAAGAGTAGCGCACGCTACTTTTAATGGATCTGACTGAGCTTTGTTGGCTGACTGAAATTGTTATGACCTACGCTAATTTTCTTGCTTAAACGAGTACCACAGAAGATCTGAAATCTTGGATGTGAAAACTTGGCCAAAATGTTTGCGGAAACTATTACGAAGGAACTAATCAGAGTTTGCTTTTGAGGCCACCAGGTCTAGAAGTACGGCGAAGTGATCTGTTCCCGCGCATAGTTGATAATCCAAAATGACGAATACAATATCTACCGAGAGCTTTTACTCTGTGCGTGGTCTTATAAAATAAAAATATAATAAAAAGCTGCAAACATTTTTAACCGTGGGATAGGGTTTGCTCGTGATTGGTCTAAAACTTAATTGGCCATCTCAGAGTACGCAACTCTGCTTTTTTCAACTGCCATCTGTTCGTAGGCGAATATCCAATTTTGAGAAGGCTACGATATTAATTTTTCTTCCGATATTAATAAAAAGATAACTCCTTCGGGTGCATCACAGAAGGCCAAGGTTGGTTCTTCCGCCGACAAGGTGATGGCGTCGCACAGTGTGGAAAATTGACTTTTTTTGTAACGAAATGTAGTATTTCGAGAACGACAACAGCTAGCGAAAGAGATTTTGAGATGGAAAGTTCAGTAAAAATAGTCTCGTTTTATAAAAAATTACTTTGACCATTAAAGTGACCTTCAAAAGTAGATTGCCTCATTTGTTTTTCTTTTTGACCTAAAAAAAATTGCAACGCAATTTTTAAGAAGTTTTAAACATATATTTTTGCGTGTTGGTGTTGGTTGATTTTTCCGACAGGGTGGTAAGATGATTTATTTTGGAACGAATTTCCGTCATCCCTTGTCAAGTTTGGTTTGCAGACAAACCGGTTTCGGCATTGTGCCATCTTGACAAGGGATGACGGAAATTCGTTCCAAAATAAATCATATATTTTTGCTGTTCCCTCTTCAAGGAACAAATTTTCATTTTTTTTATTAGAATTTGTCACAAAATAGCTAATACTAAAAAATATATTTAAACAATCTTTCTGAATATGAACTAAATTGGACCCTAAATACGGGGTTTTAAAATATCCGACGGCGCTAACCGCCAAAATAACGTAAGCGACAGTTTTTTCAAAATTTTATTTTTGATGCAGAAATGCATATAGATGTTCTGGGAATATTTCTGCATCAAAAAGAAAATTTTGAAAAAAATGTCGCTTGCGTTATTTTGGCGGTTAGGGCTCGATATATTAAAAATATAAACTAAATCAGTTCATAGGTACAGGAGTGGTAAGAGACTTGGGTCGAATGCAGAGGCCATCACTAAAACCTAAGGCCTAATTCGAGAAATTTTCGAACCCCCATTACGCATCACCCACATCTTTATCGTTTAAGATTTGTGGTTTAAAAAAGCTGATATTAATTAACCCACTGCAACTCTGCAGGTAAAATTAATAAAAGAAAATTTCCATAAATGCAAAACTTAAGACCCAAACGCATAATCATTTTCGGTGCTCCTTCAAAATTAAATGCTTTAAAGTTTTTCTACTTTGGTATACGTCATACATACATACACACTTATGTATGTGTGTACAAGCATCAACTATGTACATCTGTATGCACGCCGCTTACTTTAATTCCTATTGCTTCCTGCCGCCCGTGGCCTTCAACTCTGCTTTACTTCCTTGCCGTTTTCAACCAGCTACACACAGCCCTGAAAAGGTAAACTTTCTGTGCATAAAATTATGAAAAATTCACAAAAATTGAGCTGCAACTCTTTTGTGTGTTGTGTACATACATTTTGTATCATAATTGAATTTCCATAGGACTGCCGCTGCTCTGCTGGCACGAGTAACGCAAGTCGTTCGCATTTTTGCCCAGCGCCAGTTACATACCTACTACGCAGCTATATAGTACTCCTTTCTAGTAGTTGGTGGTAAAAAGTTTTAATTTAAATTCGCTAGTATGCAATTTTGTTAGAGACTTACTACAACAACAACAATACAGTATAATATTAGTGCCTTGCATGTATGGTATATGATTGTATGCGTGCTTGCTAGGGATGTTAATTTTTCAGCTTTTTCCGATCCCGGGATTCTTGGGATGTCATTATCACAATCCCGCGATGCCGGTATTTACATATTCATTACTCTTCAACAACTTAAATCGCGAAAAATGCTTCTGTATTGTTTGAGAAGCTCTCCTACCATAAAATAAATAATAATTAAATGGGTTTGAAACCTACTTTTTAACCGACTTCCAAAAAAGGAGGAGGTTATCAGTTCGTCGGAATATTTTTTTTTTTTTTTTTTATGTATGTTACCGCATAACTTTGGACCGCGTCAACCGATTTCGATAATTCTTTTTGCATCGGAAAGGCATCTGGTTGAGATCCGATCAGTGGATCATGAGATATATATATATATATATTTTTTTTATATGGGAGTTGAAGTCGGTTTTTTTTTTTAAAATTACTAGTTTTATTTAAAGTGGCG